TTTCTTTATCATATATGTAAGGGTAACTCAATCTTTAAATGTTTAATGAGCAATTTCAACTATGATGAACATTAAACTATAAAGCTTAAAAAGTCAACTGGCAGCCAATCTTTGAAAATAAATCTTAGCTTAATTACAGAGAAAAGGTAAGTGCAAGTGCTAACCATATTTAACAGAAATGAAGTCTCATCTAAGTTAGTATGATTTTATTCTGACTAAACATGTTAGGACTAGTCAGTCAATTATTTGAATTAATCAGGCGTCTGTCTGAAGACTGTGCAGATTGTATTTTCAGGAAGCTGTGAAATGCAAGGAACAAAAAAAGGGCAGTAGCCAGTGTGGGATTCAGCTGGTTCGCACCACTTTGGCAGAACTGGTAGCTAATCTTTTGTTGCCCAGGTTCAGAATGGACTTCTGGAAGTGGCATCCACACAGAGAACCAGTTGTTCACATATTTGAATCCCACCACTGGCTGTAGCAGAGTAAAGCTGGTCTGGTGGGGCTGCAATGTTGTTCTGCAAAGCTGCAACACAATCAGTTTAGGTTAATGGTTAAGTTAAATGTATACAGAATCCAGGGGCAACAATTTACAGAATTTAATCTGATATATTTCTTCTATAACAGAGTATTTCTCGGTTCTCTTACTATCAACTCAAAATGTGTTTTTCCATATAATGTTTAAATGTATCATTTAGGCCTATTATCATGAGTAGAGAATGAATCCTGGCCTCATCCAATGCCTTTTCTGTAATCTTCCATTGCTGCTTCAGTTAACGCTAATGTTGACATTGGCTGATCCTAAAAAAGTATACCTTGTCAGAGAATATGAGGCTAATAATGTAGTACCCTTCTATATTCTTATAAACTGGAAGATCATAGGGGGAAAACATGGCAGCAAAGTGTTTCCACAGTCATCAGCAAATTATTTGGAAATAGAATGACTCGTCTCCTTGTGCCCTAGGCTCCAAACTAACAATGGCTGTTTTAGTGACAAGTCATATTTTATAAAAGTGCCCAAACATGTATTGGAAAGAACTCAGTGTGAGGGTGGAATATAAATTAGCTGAAATAGCAAATAAATTAAAGTATCATTTAAGCTAATCTTGAGTGCTAGTGACTTCATGGATGTGTCTGTATAATTTTATTATACAGTATGGAAGCCTTTCACCATTGCCTTCATCTGGGAGATATGTAAGGTGTACCTTAAACCAAGCCCCTCATTTATTATTTATATAATAAACTGTTGGTCGGTCCTGGCTTTTGGTATACCACACATATAAGTACACTTTCTAGTGTAGTGAACATCCCTGGTAGTTTTCCATCCAGGACTGCATTATATTTCAGACTTAGACTGAAACTAAACATGTTCAGCTAATTGCTTCATTTGTTATCATGTAACAGCAAATGTTTTTCCATAAATTTTCCTTAGAAATACCAGCAGGATGGGAACATTCTTCGACATCCTAAATGCCAAGAGCAACTCATTCTCTGAATGAGTATCCTTATATTGTCAAAATGCACAAGAAGGAGAAAAAAAAAAGATTTGGAGAAATTGCAGCGTTTGCAGAAGTAGGCAACATCTATGATTTGAGATGCCCATTCTGAAGATGAAAGGGTAGAGGAGGGCTACACGGATTATCATTGGACTGGCCATCCCACCCAGTGCTAATTGAAGAATAGACACTTCTGGATGACATGTTGTATAAATCAATCAATGTAAATATATTATGGCCATGTGTTATGTGGCAAACTGCCTGCTGGTCTTCATCAGCTCTCTTTTGTTGGCTGTGTTAGAAATGGTGGTACTAGCTGCCTTAATCAAAGGACTATCATCCCCAGGCCCCCAGACACAATACTTAGAAGACAGGCAGCACAGAAACTGACTGACTTTTTCATGGGACAAGTGAATGCAGTATTCTTCGCTTATTCCAGCTGCCTGCCTGGAATCCTAGTAAGAGTACTCTGTATTGCAATTATTTTGCTACAGTTCCAACTGTATTAGACTGATATCAGTAATGTTTTTTTTATTACAGAACCCCAGGGTTCATGTATAGAATTCCCATAGAATTTTCAACATAGGCAGCACAGATAAAGCACAAGTATATTGGCTTTATCAGAATTGTTGTCATTTGCCTCCATATGATAATCTGACATCCAAAGTAATTACCCTTAACATGCATATGGATTTCATTGCATCAAACTAATGGACCAGCAATTTAAAAGCTAGTTCTGCCAGAACACTGTTTCCTGTTTAAGGGAATTTATAATATATATGCTACTGTAAATATAGCATTTGTGCAAAGCAAAACTGGATAATGCATTCTTATGAAATCCAGGCAAATTTCTGTTTTTCCCTCTGTAGACAGAATTTGTAAGAGCTACACTGTTAACAAAATCAACTGATCATATACAATATATGCACATACACAACAAAACATTTCTTACAATCTAAAAACATAACTAGCTCATCAAGTCTTATGAAAAACAGCCATCTGAAAAAGAATGATCATGATAATGTTTCTTCTTGGATTGATGTGGAATTACTAAGATATTAATAGTAGACAAGATATTATTATATCACTAAATATTATGATGGTTGTAGTTCTTTTGCCTTTGAAGCAATCTGGACATCAGGAATTATATGAATTACATCAGGCATGTCAAACTCATGACGTCACGTGACGTTGCGCCACGTATCACAAATTTTTTCCTATTGCCAGCAATGGGGTGGGCATGGTTTCAGTATGATGCATCCGGCCCCTAGGCTGGCAGTTTGACATGCTTGAATTACATGAATAGGTTTAGATATTAATGTTGTATTATACTGTATATTGCTCCTATCCAAATTAAATATTGGTTTACCGTAGTTGCAATTCACTTACAAATTAGGTATATATTACAAGACACTGACTTAAACATAAAATTATATTTTCAAGAAATATCGAAATAGACTTTTACATTAACTTTACATTGAGTGCAGCATGGCATGGTTCTGATAAAAACTGTTATGTTGAGATATTTGCAGCACTGAATAAAAATTAAAAACTTCAGACAACATCAAGTTGAAGATAATATATCAAAATATGTTGTAGTATAAAACTATAGGAACTGAGAGGCAGGGGCAGAATCTGACAGTCTAAGAAAAAAATAAGAATCCATGGCAAGTTCTGGCATGTCTTCACCAAGTAATACACATTTCTTGATAAATCCACCCAAGGACAAGCAGTAACTGGAAGCAACCTTGTTTCTAGAGCAATGGGAATTATATTCACCAGTGAAGGGATAGACTGAACAGACTGTTATATTTCTCTTAAATAATCTTGCACAGCATATTAATTTGTATAAAAAGAAACAACTAGAATAAATTAAAGGTACCAGTGTAAGCCATCAGAACAAAACTGAATTACTGTAATACTTTTGTTAAACAAACTTGCTTAGAAGTTGTAACATTAATCTGAATGTCCAGGGAACAAACTACTGTATGACATTTTAAAATCGTAACTTTATGCAGCCTCTGCCCTACAGAGAGTCTTCGACTTACGACAGTTCATTTAGTGACCAATCAAAGCTACAACGGCACTGAAAAAAGTGACTTATGACTGTTTTTCAGTTACGACCTTTGAAGCATCCCCACGATCATGTGATCAAAATTCAGATGCTTGGCAACTGGTTCATACCAATTTTGGGGTTTATTGTGGTCGTAAGTCAAGGATTATCCATATTTTTCTACAATTCAGTTCAAAGTGATAGTTGTGACCTTTAAAATCCTTCATGGCATGAGGCTGGGTTATCTGAGGGACTGCTTGATTATATGAGCCTGTCTCATTAGATCTAGCAGAAAAAGCATGTCCTGTCTGCAAATGCACTTGGCAGATCCCAGGAGGTGGACCTTCTGTCATGGTGATCACTTTCTGTGGAGACGCCTGCCTCTCTCCCAGTGAGGCTGGCTCCATCCTTGATTTTTTGGAAGTCTCCAAAAACCTGACTTGGGGTGCTGGGGATATGTGAGATCTTGAGGTGGCTCCATTATTGTTATTAATATCTACTGTTTCTTAGCCTTGTTATTTTTTTAAAAAAAATAATTGTTTTTAAACATTTACTGTTTTATTATTTTGTTATACATCACCCAGAGTTACTTTCTGTGAGATGGGTGGTCATATACATTTTATAAATAAATATTTTCATCTCTTCCTTCTTGCGCTGTGAATAGCTTGGCAGATCTTGCATGTTTATCTTAAAATGTCAAGTTGTAGCTGTAAAAGACAGAAATATGTTGTACTGTATAAAACTCTGAATCTTGATTTGGCAAGATATTCAAATGACAAAATTATTTTGTGGGATTCATGATGCATTTGATCGCATTTGTCTGGAATTTTCCAGGTGCCCAACAAAATAATTTTAGGAGCTTTGACCAAGGGGAGCCCAACAAGAATAATAATGTTAACGTCTCTGTCTGCATTCTTGCAGCCTCTGTGAAGGCGACCGAAAAAAACACAGCTGGATTCATGTGGGAGTGGGGCTCCAGCAGACATCCTTTTCCTGTCAGTTTGAGCGCCGTCCAACTTCTGGACGGGAGGAGAACGAGGAGGGAGAGGAAAAGCCAAGCGTTTTCTCTCCCCCCCCCCCCCGCTTCTGGCTCGCCTTTCTTAAAACCCAGGTCTATTTTTCTGCTGATGTCAGAGCGATAAGAAGCTGACTCAGGATGAACGACTGTTTGCTGTTTTCCTAGCCTGCGGTTTGCAGAAAATCGGTCCAAAGTTTACAGGATAAATTTGTCAGTCTGAAAGCAGCACCCTTCACCCCGCTCCGGGTGCATTTTTCGAGAGATTTATTTGCATGATGTCACCGGAGAATAATTCTAGCGGGATTTTTTTTTTTTTAAGTCATCAGCCAGGAGTTATGCCTGTACAGTAAGTGAACTCTCTATTTGCAATGCGCCCTCCAGCGATCGGGTGAAACAGAAGGTGCATGTGGCATAGGAGGCACTGCACCTTTAAAGTCACTTCCAGGAGGTCTGAAGGAAAACTGTTCACCGGACGAAACGATCATTCCCATTACAGAGCTGAACACAAAGACAATGGTCTTTCTTTCCCACTTAGAAAAACTTTAGCCAAACTTAACTACCGGGTATAAAAGCGCAGTTGTATTTTCTGGAGTGCTTTGTAGTGCATGGATATAATTTGAAGTTAGTATAGAACCGAGATATTATCTCTCCTGATACTCCGAAGTCACTATTCGGGACATATAAAACGTTTGCAGAGCGATCTGGTAAAACGCTTTTCAAACGCCTCTTACATCTACGAGAATATGAGCATGAAATTACAGTTTCTTTCTCCCCCTTTTTAATCGCCTCTTCGGTCCTGCCTTCTAACTCTTTTTCCCGAAGGGAACGAACCATTCTAAGGGCGGGAGGGGTATCTGGCTTGCTTCTTCTGTTGGAAAACGAAGGTGGGGTACCCTAATGGGCGGGACTGATTGTTGCTTCGGTTAAGCTTGGGGGAGGAGAAGGAGGGGGCTGGATCCTGTCCGGCTCGGAAGGAAAGACTCCGCTTAAGCAAGCGACGGGAAACGCGTTTCTGGAGTGGCTGGAGAGAGAAGGATGCACAACAAGCTCGACGACGAAGAGGTGAGTGTGGATCGACGCTGGGATCCGGGCAGCTTTCGTCCTGCGCGCGCGAACGAGCGAGCGAGCGGAGGATCTGACTAGGCAGCTTCGCAGGGAAAGGGAATCGCTTGAGAAAGGATTCTCTCGCTTGAGTCCGCGGAGTCCGGAAATCGAGCAAGCAGTGCCGGAGGAAACGTTTAACACTGGTCCCTTGTTTTTCCCCCTCCCCCTTCATATACCCTCTAGTATTACTATCTTAAAGCTCGGACTCTTCGCACTTCTTTGCCCGCTGTGCTTTTATTTTCAGGAGGCAGCCTGTTTGGTCTGAAGTGGGGTGAATGTTTAGCTGGGCGGTGCTTTCCGTGAATTAAAAAGAAAAGGATCTTTCCGTCCTTTTCTTTTAGCAATCAGGGATGTTTTTTTTTTCCCCCTTCCCAGTTCCGCACATGTCTGCTGCCGGATTGCTTAGATTAGGTTTCCAAGCTTTCGGATTAAAATGGGACAGCCAGTGTTTGAAAACCGAAGTACTGCTGACTTGGTATAACTGTTCCCTGCCGCTGGGAATAATGTGCTAAGCAAAAGATTTGGCTGGGTCCCCTGGAACTGAGAAGATTAGCACTTGCCTTGAGAGAGATTCTATGAAAACACAATCAAGCAATTTTATTTCACCCAGGTAGTGTTTGATTTTTAAGTACTTCTTCCTCTTGGGATTCCTTACTTGCTATGTATTCCTCTATTAGTTGTGCTTGAAAAAAAACAAAGCATTTTTACACTTTATTGCCTCTCCCTCTGGGAATTTTTAATACAGCAACAGTAGATTTTCCAATAGTGACTTTAAAATAGAGCAGGGGGCATTGTTCTACAAGAAACCAGAAAATGAAGATGCATATTTACTGTTTGTAGGCAAACATGTGTGCACTGGTTTGGTTGTTTGTCAGATTTATACGCTCCCCCCCTCACTCAAAGTGACTCTGGATAGTGTACAATAAAGCCAACAATCAAAACATTCTACAAAACCACTTACAAACCATGTATAAAATATAAGAAAGAGGAGACAGAGGCACATCTTTCTATTGCCTAAGAGCTAAAAGGATAGCACAAGCCACAATGGGTTTTGGTCCTCTTTTAGAAGGGCTGAAGCTAATGAGGTTGAAAGGAAGCTTTTTGACTTTCTCCAGTGATATCCTTCTGCAAGTCCATAATAGTTTCTCAACTTTGCCAAGCCATTCTTTGGCACAGTGGGAGAAGGATAATTTGGGGGAACAGAAAGACTGTTCATATCTTTGTGGTGCTTTATGAATTGTAAACTTTTGGTCCATTGGCCTAATGTAGTCTAACCATACTGACTTCCTTATCCCATGGAGCCTTAAAGAAGGCTGCCTATGTTTCTTCTGGATCCAACATGTCATTTGTTTAAAGCATGCCTTCCAGGATGATTCCAGTTACATTATAAATCTTTACAAAGTAATAAATCTGTTATTCTTTCTGCTGTAGGTGAAATTAAGTATGTGGGATAAAAAATGGGGCTCTGCATCTGGTCTAATAGATAAATTCTAAGAGTTGGGAGGCAGATCTTTAAATCTTACCTCTGTCTAAAACTGCAGGGTGATTTCCCTAAATGAATTCATAAGGACTGTTTTTTTTTTATGCTATGGGTTTTCTATGCTATTGCATTTTATAAATGGGAACTTGTGTAGGAGAGATGCTGAAATAACTTGCATTTTCCTGTGGAAGAAGTACAGAAGTACAGAAAGAAGTGTGAGACATTTCAAATACCGTTACCATTGATGTTATCCACAGTTGTTTTAGTAACATCTAAACAACTATATGTGTAAAAATAATGGTAGAGCATTCTGTACTTTGCAAAGTAGTGGACAGAATAGCAGTTATATATGAAAACTGTTATTATGTCACTGTTAGATTCCCTTAACAATTGTTCCAGTCTCCCAGTGTTTTATAGGTGACTGATTTACTGCTGGTCACATGTACTGAGCAGAACTTTGAATACACACCTAATAATTAACTGCCTTGCAGAACTATGTTAACTGCCATGGAAAGCAAGTTACAGAGCTTTGATGTCAGCTTGATTCTTGTCCCCATTTTGACACATCTAAATAGGAGGTTCAGAGGGTGTATTTCTTGGAATAAGTTCTTAAAGGTTTCTAAAATCAAAACTTTAGCAACTCTTCCTTCAAAAAGTGGATGGGAAGAGGTAGATGGACTTAAATATCCTGAACAAGGGAAAACATCTCTTGAGCCTGGCCTTTAGAAGATGATAGTAAATTGACCCAAGATTGCTTGGAAAGCACATCTTGTTCTGTGGCCTGTGCCTGAGGCACTGGTAGTCTGTTTTACATATAATTGCCCTACTGATAAAGGAAATAAATGTTAGAGATATTTCAGCAACATATTTAAAATGCTCTCAGAGTTTCACACATTTCAAGGACCAGACGTTTGCCACTAGAAATCAGCCTGTTTTCCTGCCATCAGTATCTTTTTTGTCTTTATAGTACATTTGTGTCTTTCATTCTTATCAACCTTTCAGATGACAATGAAACTGGAAAGTTACAACAGCACTGAAAAAGTGACTTATGGCTGTTTTTCACACAACCATTGCAGCTTCCATTGGGTCACGTGGTCAAAATTCAGGCGCTTGGCAACTAGCATATAATTATGACAGTTGCACTGTCCTGTGATCCTGTGATCACCTTTTGCAACCTTTTGACAAACAAAGTTAATAGGGAAACCAGATTCACTTAACAATTGTATTAAGAGCTGCAGTGATTCACTTAACAACTGTGGCAAGAAATGTTGTAAAATGGGACAAAACGCACAACATATGTCTTGCTTAGCAAAAGAAATTTTGGTGTCAATTCTGCTCCTAAGTCGAGGAGTATCTATAATTAATATGTGTCCATAACTTGCTTTGCTAAATATATCTTTAAGAGCTAATGAACTATAAAGAATTACTGGTGATTAGAAAATCCTGTGATTCACTGAGTTATCCTTTGAGACAAAGTTATGTAGTGCAGTCTGAAATGATCAGAATGAACATTAACTTTTAAATCAACCAATGGAAGCAAGAGTGATCTCCAATTTCCTAACAGCTTCCCTAGTCACTTTGCTTATGGAAAGATAGAAAAATCATATTGATGTGACCAAGAAATGCTGCAATGGCCATAACTTTGTGAATTAAACTGGTTTGAATATCATGGAAATTTCAGTTCCATAGGAGAAATGAAGCCCGTATTTTTGTGCATTATTTAATTTAGCAGCCTGGATTCAAAAACTGCTTTAATGCACAATTTGGGATAACTTAAGGCAGTGGTTCTCAACCTTTTTAATGCCGCGACCCCCAACTGGTCGTAAGTCGAGGACTACTCAACTGGTGCAGCACTGTTTGCAGAATGGGACTTTTGGCGGGCTCAGCAGGGCAGAGACAGCCTGGACAATTCCTGTTGGCTTTCAAAAGCCAATAGAATAAAAGGGAGTAACACAGCTAAGGAAAAGGGGAAAAAAATGGCGGACTGCGTTGTTTGGTGACCCCCGTGAAATGGTTGTTCGACCCCAAATGGGGTCCCGACCCACAGGTTGAGAACCACTGACTTAAGGGGACAAACAGGTAAACATAGTTTTAGCGTAGATAGGCAGGCAGGCAGGTTGTAGGTCCTACTTAGCAGTAAGTCCTACTGATCTCAAAGGGACTTATTTTTGATATATGTCTATAATGTTATTCAAACCTGCCTTCATAGAAATGCATAGGATAGGAAGAATACTAAATATTCTACTAATATGTAGGATCATAAATAGGTTTAGACTAACTGCTGTATGAACTCATGAACCTATTTAAGGTGGAACATGAATAGACCTTGTAGCATTTGTTATACTTTCAATTATTTTTCTGTGTTTTAGATCACTCATCTGTGACATACATTTTCAATACAGCAGACAAAAAGGGGAGTCATTTAATAATCTTTGGTGAGAGCACACTTCAACACTGCATAATAACATGAAAAAGATGGGAGTGTAGACGTGTGCAGGTCTTCTCTTAGGAGGCCACACAGAATTCATTTGGCTTTGGTCCTAATTAAATGAATATAAGGTTATAACCACATGTTAATAATGTGTTCCTGTGATCTTCACTGTGGTCCTTTCAAATGATTCAGTAGGCATTTTTTTTTTCAGAGTCATTGAACATATTTGTTGTTGCAGATGCAACAGGTTTGCTTGTGTGTGTGTGTGTGTGTATGTATATGTGTGTGTGTGTGTGTGTATGTATGTATGTATGTATGCATGTATGCATACCATGCATCTGATACTGCAACTTTGGGCTGCTTTTAATAATATAAAAAGTTAAAAAGTGCTAAAAACAATTAAAATTAGAAAAATTGAATACAGAAGTTAAAAGTTAAAAATCATGATGGTGGGCATTCTGGGGTTGAGAATCTTCTTTAGGTCATCAGCCAACCCCAATGTAGCAGATTCCTGTTTGGGGCCTCAGGCCAAACAACACAGCCACAGCTCTTCCCGAAGGCCAGGAATGTGAAGGCGAACTTCACCTCTAATGGCAGAATATTCCAGAGGGTGGGAGACACAGCAGAAAAGGCTCTTCTCCTGGATCCTGCCAGTCAAAATTCTTTGGCTGACAGGATATGAAGTAGGTCTTTTCTACTGGAAAGAGTAAGATGGGTTAATCCCATTGGGGTGAGACAGTTCCTCAAAGTCCCTGGACTCATGCCACAGAGAGCTTTAAAAGTAATGACCAACATCTTGAATTAGGCCTAGAAGCAAATTTGCAGTGCAACTTGCATAATGGTGGTGTCACATGTGCCACCCAAGGGCTTCCAAAATAGTGCACACTGTGCCACTACATTCTGTACCAATTGTAGCTTTTGAACACTCTGGGGCATGACTGACTGCATGCAGGGCCTCATGATCCAGGAAAGGGCACAGCTGGCTTACAACATGAAGTTGCACAAAGGCTCTCCTAGACATGACTACCACCTACTCTTCGAGCAGGGATTACGAATGTAGAAGAAGCCCCAGATTTTGCACTGGGTCTTTTGGGGATAGTGCAATCCCATCCAGAACTAAGAATGATAAATCTCAGGTCCTGCCAACCCCCATCCAAATTGTATTCCATTATAACTAGAGTCCATCAAATTTGAAGGCTTCTGTAATCCCCTGTTGTTTATTGAAGGAAGAGCTGTCTGTTAATAAACAGAACCAAGAGAAAATGAAAAGAAATAGCCAAGCAGATTTGACATTTATTAAATTGAGATGATTGCATATGCACAAATAGATAACATTTTAAATTGCCTTTTAGAATTCACTACTATGCTGTAAGAACACTGAAAGTATATTTATTCTATTATGCATCTCTCCTGTCTTCCTCATGTTCCCTGCTTAAATTGTTGGCTATTTCCAGTCTCATTTACTGTTTGTTTCATTTCTTTGCTTTGGGTTCCCCCCCCCTTTTAACTACTTTTGGATTATAAACATATTTTACATGAACTGTAGAACTTTTTAGCTTAGAAAGCAAACTGTAATACTTTTAATCTATAGTTTTTAAATATTTATTATCAGCTTACTGTTCTTGGGTTGTTTACAGGTGCCAGAATTTATCTGTTTTCATCTAATTTGGCTGTAATAATCCCTCTTTTGGCGAATAGCAACATGATGTCAAATAGAAATAATCTTGCTTACCACAGTCTTGGAACAGGTATGTAATTCATTACTTATGGTAATCCTTCTTTAGCATTTAATGACCTAAAACTATTGACTAATTATGATGCAGTCCAAGTTAGACTAGGCTGTGCGTGCTATCTCATCATTAATGATCAAAATAACTTATTCACAGGTAAAATGTTCAGGATTGGTATAGCTACAGGAGTCATTGTTTGTATGTATTCTACACAAGATAAACTTTGGCTTCCTATCCTCCTAAGTAATGTTGAATCTCTAGTTTTCTGCCTGTTTAAGAAACTAGCAAATATATTGTTTCAGTATAACTTTAATTAGCAAGTACTTGTACTTGTTTACTCATATATGAAATAGCTACTGTGCAGTGAAAGTTAATCAATTTCAACTCTAGTTGACCTATAGCTTGGAAGGATCTTTTTTCCAAAACAAGCTGTTTGTATTAACCTGGAAGTGCTAATTAAGCCATAATGGAAATCATATTTAGCAAGAATATCATAATTAAGACAACATCATTTTTAAAAATAATGTGGCTGAGTAAAATTAGCAGTATTCATATTTTGCTTCTATGCTTGCTATGTTACTGAGCCAGTTGTTAGCTTCCATTTTTCTCTTGTATTTTGCTTATGATGATGTACTATGGATTTTTTTTTACTTATTAAGGATAGCTGCATATTTTTATTGGACTGCTGTGAACTAGTGTGAGTCTTTATTGATTCATCGGTATACAAATGGTATAAATAAATAATTTTTCCCTATTCCTTTATTTCCATTGAAGTCAGTAGACTAAAGCATTGCATACAAATACAAAATACTAAAAATAACTCTTGGAATTACATTTGAAACACATGCAAATGTTTCAATCTCTGGAATTTCCCAGATGATTTAGAGAGCTGCTGCTAATCAAAATAGACAATAGTGAGCAGGATTATTGCTTCCTCCTCTAAACCTCTTTAAGATTCCCTATATATTTAATCAGAACCAGATTTGCAGATGCTCAAAATCTGCTTTCAACAGCTTAATTTAAGTTTGGAATGAATAAAGGAACAATAATAAGCAATTTAGAGTGGTGTATGTGTTAGCACTTTAATCAGATTATTCTTGTATGTGCTGGGTGGAGTACTGTAAAGTTCTTGCTAATGCACAATATTTTCCATGCTTTGTTTCCTCCCTGTTGCATATATTCTTTTTTTTTAAAAAAATACTACTGATAATTTGAAATGCAATTCAGGGAAATAATACTGTGTTTTTTGTTAAAGACCTGCAAAGTGGGGAGATTCCCTCCAATATTGTAGGTCTTCTCCAAAAGATAAAAATGATCAAAAGTAAAGACAGGATTTAAAAGCTAACATATTTCAACCTGAAATTACAACCTGACTTTTCTAGCTTGATTAAATTATTTCTATAGTGGGAAGTTATTGATATCTGATAACTTGATTGCAGTAGTAAAAACAGAGTTTTGATATTGTGAATTAACCATGCATTAAACCTTAAGGCTATAGTTCTCAGTTCACTTACATAAGAATTAACTAGTTGGACCCAGTGGGAAATACTTCTAAAAACTCATGTATAATATTGCAAAATTAACATCTTTACACCTTTATTTTTATGGATGCTGTCATAGGTTTCATCCAGATCCTAAGAAGTTCTCAGTTGAGTTTTACTGATTTTAATTGGTGGTGGGGATTAAAGGAAATATGCCTACGGGATCTTATAATAACCCTGTTGTCTGGGGTGTTGGTCATCAGAGAACTATTAAATGTTATTATTTTTCTTAAATCAGCTTCTGATATCCTCAATAAAGAATTTATGCTGGACCATGTGTTAGAAATAATGTTTATCAATCTGGTAACTATGATGAGAATGATCCAGTTGAATAATGCCCCTTTGTAATAATAAAACCCCTTTTCATGTAATGTATTGTTTCTACTTGCTAGCTAAGTTTCCCAATGAATCCAGAGATATTCGGAACAGGGAGAAAGATTGGAAAGCAATACAGATAATCCTCGTTTAGTGAATGTTCAAAGTTACAGTGGCACTGAAAAAAGTGACGTAGGGCCATTTTTCACAATTACGACCACTGCAGCATTCTCATGGTCATGTGATCAAAATTCAGATGCTTGGCAACTGGTTCGTATTTATGATGGTTACTGTATCCCAAGGTCATGTGATCACCTTTTGCATCCTTCTGACAAGCAAAGTCAATGAGGAAGCCAGATTCACTTAACATCTGAGTTATTAACTTATCAACTGCAGTGATTCTATTAAACAACTATTGTAAGAAAGATCATAAAATTGGGCTAACTCACTTAACAAATGTCTCACTGAACCATAGAAATGTTGGGCTCAGTTGTGGTCATAAGTCGAAGACTACCTATACTCAGTCTGTTGAGGAATTCTTTCCTTCTAGTTGCATAAAAAATGACATGGCACACTGAGACGTCTCCCCCCCCCCTCCAGTTACATCCCCTTATACATTGGAATGTAAAATTATTTGTCAGTGTTAACATCCATAGTGTTGAACTCCTATTTCTCAGGTTTCGTATAACAAGAATGTGGGTTGTTGTTGAAAAGGTTCAAATATATATATAAAATAGAACAGGATTTTCCCGTGAAAGGGGAGTGTTGTGACAATAACAGTAATAACAACAGCAACAACAACAGCGTTGTAAGGGACTTTGGAGGTCTTCTAGTCCAACTCCCTGCTCAGGCAGGAAACCCTGTACCATTTCAGATAAATGGTTGTCCAGTCTCTTCTTAAAAACTTCCAGTGTTGGAGCATTCACCGCTTCTGGAGGCAGGTTGTTCCACTGGTTAATTGTTCTAATTGTCAGGAAGTTTCTCCTTAGTTCTAGGTTGCTTCTCTCTTTGGTTAGTTTCTATCTGTTGCTTCTTGTCCTGCCTCCAGGTGCTTTTGAGAATAGCTTGACTCTCTCTTTTTTGTGGCAATCCCTGACAGGGCAACTGTATGACTCTGAATATTATATTGTCACTAATTTAATGTCTACCCATTGCTTGTTGGGAGGAAAAATGAGGGAGACCATTGTAAAAGAAATTTAAGTGGCAAGGATTCACTTAATTTAATGCATAAATAAATTATTACTGAAACTAAGACAGCCATGTCAGGCTGTTTCTGCCTTTTATTCAATACAATCTATTACCTACTTGTAAGGAAGAATCTTGACGCTTCCCCCCTCCACTCATTTTTTTTCTTTCTTTGCAGGCAGCTAAGATAAATAACTTATACAGGAAATTTGTTTCTGGTGTACCACTAACATCATTGATTTGGTGGCATCTCATCTTGCACAGGTCTCTCTTGATTCTTTTTGCATAATAGGACTGTTTAAAACAGTAATACCTTTGTAATCAAGTGTTTTGAAAATAGTTTCTAAAATTACTCATCTTTAGGATCACTTCTATAAATTTGTTGTTGAATTCAAGTTCCATGGAGTATGAATTTAAAAGTACTGCAAGCTAGGAAAAAAGAATAATTCACTTGTTAAAACTCTTTCCCGTTCTTCTCTTTTCTTTTTACAGATTCCAACAAGATGTTGGAAGAATATGGCCATATGCAAAACCAGGTGGAATTACAAAATACCAGTTTAGGAAAAGAGGTAGTTGTGAATTCTCTTGAAACTGATCTTCAGCATATAATGGACAAACTCAGCCAAAAAAAATACTCATCCAGTCTGAAATTAAAAACAAATGAAGACTATTCTGGTTCTTATTTAACTCTCTCCCAGCCTCTGGCACCTAAACTGAGTCCTGCATCCAGTGTTAAAAGTATGCCATCTGTTTCCAAAATTCAGGGAATCAAACCTTTGGCTTGTGAGAACTCTTATCTTTCGGACAAAAATGCTTCTCTAAAGCATATGGGCCCCATTTCAGGCACATTCTCATCGTTAAGTGGGTGCAGCCTTGGAAAGAAAGACTTTGATATTTATGCTACCAGGGAAAATGAAAAACAGTTTGGACCTCTGAGTAGATTTCCCTATTCAAAGTTCAGTCAGAAGAATAAATCTCATGATAGTGTCTATTTCCCAGGAGCACTGGACGGGTGGAAAAACTCTGGATCTCTTCTTACAATGTGGAATGGGAATTCAGGAAATGATATCATTATTTCACCATTCGGCAGCTCTGGAGCTGCCAGTATGCCCTCTAGTCCAAAACAAAGCAGGAAAATGAATATAAATGACATGATGTCCGTTCAGGCTAGGTCAGCTAAACAAAAGGATTCAGCAATGGAAGCTCTGGGGCCCAGAACCAGAAAACATCCGAGTGGTTCATTGAGCCACATGGGAGTTTATAGTCGGTCATTGCCCAGGCTTCATAAATCAACAGAAAGCCAACTCACACCACTGAGTTTACCACCAAGAAACTCTTTTGGGAATTCCAAAAGAAAGAAGACTATTGAAAAAGACTTTCTACCTCAGAATATACTGGATCCTGACAATTACCTTCATTTTTCTTCTTGCACTTCAGGAATATTGCCATATTCAAACTTTGCACCTGAAGTGAATTCCTATGTAAATTCAACTCTCAGTGTTCCTGCAAGCCCCCGGGTAGCTAGGAAAATGCTTCTGGCATCTACTTCCTCATGTGCATCTGATGACTTTGATAAAGTTGGATTGTCAGGAACAAGCCCTAGTAATTCATTTATTCCCTTTGATGCTGAGAGAGGGTTTCCAGCAAGAAGAAGGATTTCCAATGGCTCCATGGAGTTTGATGAAACAGATTTGGAAAGCCATAGGCAGACTCCTTCCATTCGAGAAAGAAAGAGCAGTATTAGTTCTGTTTCTGGAAGAGAAGACCTAATGGACTACCACAGGAGGCAAAGAGAAGAAAGGCTGAAAGAACAGGAAATGGAGAGACTGGTAATATATTTTTTCCCAGTTAATTTCTAACAGTGTTTGCTATTACCATATCAAATATTACCCTTAAAGTTACTTATTATATATGCAGCTGTTTTAGTTTACAATTCAGGTGTTTGATTTTTCATGTGCATCAGTGTTTGTCAAGGCACAAAAATTGGTCAAATCACGTCCTGTTTTAAAATCTAAGCCAGTGCAAGGAAGCCATCTATGTGAGGTAGGAACTTGAAAGAACTTGATGGTGCTTCGACTTGTGTGTTCTGAAAAAATGATCAGGTAGTTACGAGCCACAAATTATATCCTGCAGGGACCCAGTATTTCAGGGAAAAAAATGCCAATGACACTGTTGTTTTGCAGTGATAGGATATGTAAAACATGTTTCCCAGTTCTATAAATTATAGTCAGGCATTATTTCAACAGAGAATATTTCTGTTTTGGATCAATCAAAATTGGTATATATTAAATTTAGGCAGTTTGTAACTGCATGTACTTACTTTCTGTGCCATTATTATTGTCATCAGCTTGCTTTTAAATTATTTAATATTAATATACTTAATATTCTTAAATATAAGAATTTTTATTTTTTTATGTTTAAGATGACGTGATACTCATTATTTTTAAAAAAACTCTATTAAGCACATTGAATAGTTCCTATATCTTAGAGAAAAACCTTAAGTCATCTGTGATTTTTTTTTCAACTCTGTGAAACATTTTAGGATAGGAAAGCATAATTGTCAAGAATACATCAGAAATGAACATATATCTTAGAAATGAAATTTTGATAAATGGAAATTCACTATACATTTCATTTTATGGGTGTAATATGTAAATACTTCCCCAAATACATTCGTCTTCACTTATTCCCACTTAATTGAGTGACCCTTGCAGACAAGGACTTCTTCGCTTGGAATTGTTCCCATTGTCTTTTGTTTGTGGAAAAAAATGGCAGTCAGCTAAACAAAAGTTGAGTACATGTGCCAAATATAGTAGCAGTTTATTTGTTCTGAGGAAATTGTCCTTTCAAACTCATCTAATTAAACAGATAAAGTGCACATTGCATTGAAGAATAACTAATTAGTGTCAGAAGAAAGGAAAGAGAAAATTGGAGAAAGAAAACCACACTATTAATCATAGGCAAAATCTAGTTCAGTCTTCTGCTGCAGTTAGCTTGGAACTATAAATTCCAAAACTTCTAGGTCTGATAAAGCTGATACAATAAGTGTTTGTCTACAGAATGTCTGCATTTAATATTTAAAAAATGAATTGAGATAGTCCAGATAAGGGCACAGGTACAGTATGGGAAAAAATTCTGAATTCCTAGGTTCCAGTCCCCCCCCCCACTTAATGTATGTACAGTTTTCCTTTTTAAAAATTACTTTGTTTTTTGTATGTGCTTGAATTAGAAAAACCTCTATGATGAAACTACTATGGACACCTTAAGGATGGGCAGAGGTGAAAACCATAGATGGGTATAAAACTGATACAGAATTGTCTCATAGCTAGACCCTAATTTTAGGGTCTGCAAGTTCTGGGCCGCCAAATATCACTCTGTATTGCTTTTGATAGAAAGAGGGAGAATATTCTGTACAGTATTTACTGCCTCCATCTAGTAATTGTCTGGATTTTTGTATCCAAGATCTTTACCCTACCTAACTATTGTAAAAAATTAGTCATTAAAGCAGTGGTTCTCAACCTGTGGGTCGGGACCCCATTTGGGGTCGAACGACAATTTCACGGGGGTCACCAAACAACGCAGTCCGCCATTTTTTCCCCCTTTTCCTTAGCTGTGCTACTCCCTTTTATTCTATTGGCTTTTGAAAGCCAATAGAATAGACTCTCTGAATAGAGTCTAATTCTATTGGCTTTCAAAAGCCAATAGGAATTGTCCAGGCTGTCTCTGCCCTGCTGAGCCTGCCAAAAGTCCCGTTCTGCAAACGGTGCTGCACCAGTTGAGTAGTCCTCGACTTACGACTGGTTGAGTAGTCCTCGACTTACGACCGGTTGGGGGTCATGGCATTAGAAAGGTTGAGAACCACTGCATTAAAGAGTACTGAAAATGGTTTTAATTTTGCAATTCTCATTTAAGTCAGTAGAGGCTGATCTATTCTATGTAGCCTGGGAAGCAATATAAACCCAAGATATTTTGTTTCCTAAGATGGTAGAATCAATGGTATACCTTCTTTAGTCAGTGTACATATTACCCAAAACCGATAATGTTATTTTATGTCCCCTCAAAGAAGGGGGCGTAGAAGTGACAGAAGGATTTATTTCACACTATATAATAATTTTTTTAAAAAAAATTTAATAGTAAATTAAGAATCTGCTGTTCTTTCATTACATTTTTATTTTATGCTTGATGGGATGCCTAAAACAGTGACAGATAGTTTTTTTAGTATAGTATAGTATAGTATAGTATAGTATAGTATAGTATAGTATAGTATAGTATAGTATAGTATAGTATAGTATAGTATAGTATAGTATAGTATAGTATACTGGGGATTGAGTGATACAATGTAGAACAGTCTTTAAATTAAAAATAGTTTTAAAAATTGAATTCCCTCGAAAAATGTGTCTTAACATCTTATGAAATTGCATAAAATTTTCATATTTTTGCATGATTTCTTAAGCAAGATTGTTGAAATATATGGCAATTGTATGAGATTCTGTTTTATTATCATAAAATATTTTAATTTTAATTTACAGTTCGGGTTCCAAGGCTTGATGTCCATTGATGAAAATGGAAAAATGCATGTCTTTTGAATTGCATATAACTATTTGCTGCTGTGCAACAATTAATGTGATACTCACTAACCTACCTGACAGGATTGTTGTTATGGGAAAAATAGGTGAAGTTGCGTTGGATATATTTGTTTCCTCGAGTTATTTATAAAAATAATAAAGGTGGGATACAAATAAATATTTAAAAAATAGGAAAAGCAAGGGAATATGCTTCAGAAGCAAAATATAGCTTCTGCGAAAGATGTCCTAAAATCCTAAAAGTAATCAGAAATAATCCTACATTGTGAAAGCTCTTGATATTGGTGTAAAAATTAATGAAAATTATTTTGAAGATTTCTTCAATTATACCTTTATAAAGGCTGAACGAAATATTTTCTTTCTTTAGAGACAGGATAAAGGGTTTTTTTCCCCCAAAATTTATTTGACAGCTGTTTCCTTTGCACAGTTTTGTTTTTCTGAACAGGATGTAAGTCCACTTGCTTTGAAACATATTAAAAAGTTAAAGTGAGTGCATGTTTATGTATACAGGAATTTCCTTTCACTTAATTGGTTTTCTGTTTTTAGCATCCTGATAAGGATTATTGTTGTGAAAGACCCTAGATTGGAATATACATTCAGACATTGTGGAGGCATTCACAAGTAGAATAATGCATCCATTTGATAAATGTTTTGAAGGTCAACTCACTTGTAGTTCTAGTTCAGTTCTCCTTTTGAGAAGCTTCTTGAGGTTGTGATTTAGTTAAAACTTTTGGTTGCACTGCTACAACCACTTTTTGATTCATCTGCACTTGGAGAGGGGTAATCAGAACGAAGGGAAACCCAAATTCCATTGAAATGAAGTGAATTTGACATTTTATTCCTTTGAAAAAGAATATATGTTCTATATTCAGAATTCTGATTTTAAAATTCTAAATTTAAAATTAACAATGGCAAACAGCCAGATAGGCAAGCAGTTGAATGGAAAGAATTTATTTTTAGAGAAAAAAATGAGCACCTTCAAAAAAACTGAGAGATAAGAAAGATACTAAGATTTGTCTAGGAATATACCTCATTAAACTCACTATGATCTGACTTTATAAGATACATTTGAAGCAAATAGACCAGGGGTGTCAAACTCAATTTCATTGAGGGCCGCATCAGCATTGTGGTTGCCCTCGGGGGGTCATGGGTGTGCGGTCAGGGTGGGCATGGATGGAGTGGGTATGGTCTACTGAGTGGGCATGGATGGAGTGGGTATGGTCTACTGAGTGGGCATGGCCAGCTCTACATTGTTCGCATCAAGGGTGCCTGTGGGGGCCTGGGCAGGAATGGGACAGATCTGAGGGTCTCTGGCAGATGGGGGTGGAACCAGGGCAAGTGCCAAGGCATGATCTATTTCTTTATTCCTCACAAAGGGTGACACCTCCCCAGCATGCATCCAGGAGGCGGGGCTGACACAGCAGGGGCTGGTTCCTTGCTGTTTCTAGACGGCCTTGTGGAGCTAAGACTGAATGTGTTTCAGCATAGATGGCCACCACAAAATTGTACATTGGCTCCCTCCCAGCTGGCCTGGGCCAGGGCCAAGGCAGCGGCGGCCATTCCCTCACTGTTTCCAGGATGGCTTTGCGGGCCACATGAAACCAGTTCGCGGGCCGCATCCGGCCCCCGGGCCTTGTGTTTGACATGTCTGAAATAGACAGAGACTGGAGCTATCATATGTTCTAAAAATCCAGACCACTGGAAAGAATAAGAATTTAAGAGTTTTCTTCATCTGACATTTAATATTTTCCCAGATTTTTACCATTTAGCTCTGGTAATCCTAGAACTGTCTCAACTTTCAATACCCTGGAGGCAGGTAATATAAAATACATATTTTAAATGTTTGAAATATGTAAAAATTCTGAATCAAATTTTGTCAGGTTGAAAATGAAAAAGAAAGAAAAAATATTGATATGAAAGCAAACACTTGAGTTATTTTTCTTGTTCTGTTTATTCTGAACTAAACTACAAAGGCCATTTCTAGCAAGGCAGGTAAATACCTAGTTATATGTCAAAGGTGAGTCAGTATCTATACTTAGAAACTGTGAACAAACAATATTTTTTTCTGTAAAACAATAATGTTCTTTCAATTTGTTACCGGATAACCACTTACTAGGAAATGCATTTCAGATACGGTTTTCACATTTGCTGCTGAAGGGTTGAAATTAAACAAGCGCTTCTGCAAAAAAGTAGTTACTTTTGGTTACTGGAGAAAAGAGAGGGGACAATAACAAGAGAGTTTGATA